TTAAAACTTAAGTAAAACTTGGAATTAAATATCCATGTAAAAAGTAACAATAAAGAATGCTAAATGTTCAGGCCTCTAAATTTAAACATTTTAAATTTGACATAATTTTTCCCCAAAAAAATCAAAATTTCTTTTTAGCTAGATAAACACAGGAATGTTCCAGCCTGATGTATTTGCTTACATGTTTACTATATTGAGCTAATTTTATTTTAAGTGTAATTTGAAACAAAATTCAACTAACAGGCAATATATAATTTACATAGTTTTTTCTTATCAGTGTACAATACATTATCTGACTTCAACTTACTTTCAGGAATCAATGATTCTTCATCTTTTTTCTTAGATTCCTTTTTACCCCAAAACCCACTAAACCAGCCTCCACGTTTCTCGCCTTTGTCAGCAGACTTTTTCCTTAGTTTCTGCCCAGACCGAATCACCTAAAAAATAAAAATTAAAAAATTTAAATGAGGAATAATGCCCTCTCCATTTTCGGGTGTTGCCAGGTAAGAACAATGGTTAATTTTTTAAACACCACATTAGATGAAACCAGTCAAGAAGGCCAGTTTGATCTTAAATGATGCTTACAACACGGTTTGGTTAATGTACTCTCCCTGTTAACTGACTTGCCACACCAACTGATAGCATTTTGATGAGGCTGCATTTTGTCAGCAATACATAGTTAAGTAAAATTTTTCTGAGCAATATGACTTCCAAATTTTTAAGTTAAGGAGCCACTAGACCTGCAGCTTTATAAGATGAAAAGTCCCCTGAAAGTGACCACACCCAAAAACGTATTAGTTTAAAACAATCATATTTCAGAGTTCATATATTAATACATTGCTAGGTTGCTAACTATGAACAGGGCACAGGAAGGAGGGGTGTAAATAAAAATAGTCCTCAAATCTCATTTCATCCTCTTTGCTCAACAAATCTTGACTTGATTTTCTATTGTTCCTTCTCTTTGTCCACTTTTCAGCGAAATACAGATAGATGAATAATCAAAAAGCAGAAAACAGAGATAAAGAGAATAAAGGGATAAGTAATTCAGACTCTATGTTCTCATTCCCTGAATAAGTACACTTTAATCATTTTTCCATTTAGAATATAGAGTATTTTAAATTGGGGGTGAATTGATAACATAGTGTAAGCACCTATGTATAATAAAAAGTGAAATACTCCAAAAGAGAAGTTAAATGAAAAGAATTGAATTCTATAGTAAAGAAAACAGGTTTGATTAGTGAACGTAAAGACTGAGCATAAGTAAAATGTTAAGCTTTGGTCACAAGCCGTGGCTGAGTGCATGCATTCAAGCCCTGTTGGGATTTGCAAATGGAAAGTGAATGACAAGTCAGCTACTGTGGATACACAGCTCAGTGGTATTCAATTCTTGCTGCACATAGGAATCATCTAGAAGCTTTAAAAAAAAATTCCAGTGCCAAAGCCCCACTATATAACAATTAAATCAAATCTTGAGGGAGTGTGTTCCAGGCATCAGTTCTTTTTTAATCCCCTGGTGATTCTAATGTGCAACCAGGGCTCTGAACCACTGAGATGACAAGTAAGTTTCCTTCAACAAAAGCAGAGATCATCAAGCAGGGAGTTTAACTGCCTCAACAGTTTCCCAAGTAGATGAAACTGAGCTATTTTGGAAATGACACACAATTAAATGTATATCATCTGTGCTTTTAAACATTAAAGGATCTACTA